CCCGATGGTTGTCCCGTCAACCCTCCTCAGAGATGATGGCCCAACAGTGATTTAGAACTGCTGTTCTCGCCAACATTGGGCGGTCGAGGGTGAAGTGCAGTGCAGTGCCGTGCCGTGCCGTGCCGTGCGCGAGGCTGACCTGTTGTGTTGTTCAAAGCGCCACAAGACCAAGAGCCGCCAGCTAGACTGTACACCGGTCGTCTGACACAGCACAGTGATGCGGCGAAACACACGACGAGAAGGTTGGGGGGCCTCCGGGCGATGCAGATCAGCAAAAGCGGCTCGGTTGTCGACAGGTGGTGAAAAATGATCAACAACCTCGGGGTCCACACAGTCAACCGCTGAACGGAAAGAGGCACGCGCGCGAGCCTTGTGGCTTTTGCATTTGCTTGGGGAGAGGGTGGGCGGGGAAGGTTCTTGCTCAGCCCGCCGTGGCAAGATGAGGCCTCCCGCACGGAAAAAGTTGCTTGCGTTGCGACATCCCACACCATCGAGATCAAAGCGTGATTCCTGTCACACTGTGTTTCGTAATAATTGCCTCATCGAGCCACACCGGCCGCATGCTTCCGCAGCTTGCGTCACCCGGTTACATCATCGTGGCCATGAACAATGGTCATCACTGCTTTCTTCACATTGGGACCAAAAGAAAACGATGACATTTGAAAATGATGACATTTGCCCATCGAAAATGATGACATTTGACTTTTTCCGCGCTGCGCGGATCCAGCCGCGACCTGAAAGGCGGCAGCGCAAACCGACGTGCGTGTGTGTGTCTGTGTGTGCGTGCGGGCGTGCGTTTCTGTGTCTGTGTGTCTGTGTGTCTGTGTGTGATTGGTTCACTGGGCGCCGGGATCAGACTTTTTGGTCCAATTTGCTTTTCCCGCTGCGCGGCGGCCTTGATCTGCTAGACGGTGCAGTCGGTGTATTCCTCCTTGTCAGTCTCGTCGTCTCAGCACCACATGAGGTGCACGACGGCACAGAGTATTCGCGGCGTTGAGAGGGTTCTTGATAGTTTGGCATCTACTGCAACAGGTGCGGGACCATCGAGTTGGTGTACGCGGTAGCAAGTGGTCCGGCGTGCGCATGAGTTCAATCTACAGCCGTCCCTCACCAATATTGCGCTGATGGCCTTCCTCTAGGCGCTTTGCTCCCCGTCACTTCTGCAAAGGTGGCCGCAGCACAGCCTTGGCCACTCCCCCTGTTGTGCACCATGAGTGCATCAAGCAATGCGCAAGGCAAACCGTCTCAATTGGCGGTCAAGGCATCAGCAGCCACCATCAAACATGATGACGAGTTGCGAAACCAGTCACTGGTTTTGTTTTCCACCCTCTCGCAGGCAATCGAGCCTCCCCCGGCTTCTGTGCTGGCAGTGCCACTTGACCGGATTTACACTGGCAAAATGGCCAAGGCTTTGGTAGCTTCCAGGCCTGTCAACGCCGCAGCGCAGGGGGGAAATGCCATCAACTTGACGTCGCATTCCAGCAAGAGGTCAAAGGGCAACAAAGTGAAGTGCAGAGATTGTGGGAGGTCGGTGTCTGATTCCAGCGCAGCGCGGACGCACATTGAGCAGTATCACCGGGGCAAGCGGCTGTCAGACTGCTTCCCAAGCGCAAGCGCAATGCTGTGTGGAGAGGAAGACTGCACTTTCGAGTGGTTTGCAAGATCTGCCGCCCCCTTTGCTACGCATTGCGCTACCGCGCACGATTGCATGGACGGTGGCGTAGCAGCTTTTGGCAAAGTTTACGAGTCGTGCAAGCAGTGTCTCCGGTGCTTTGGCTGCTTCAAAAACTCGGCGGCCCTGCGAAAGCACAAATCGCGCGCAAAGTGCACGCCCTACAAACCTCCCCTAGTGCCATATCGTCCAAAGCCGGCTAGGGACGAGCCCATAGCAGACCCCAAGCCTGTAGAGGTGAATCTCGACTCGGTAGCACCCGTAATTCCACCCCCACCGAGCGATACCGGGGCAACTATCAGTGATACAGACGCCGCAACGCCTTCAACTTCAAAGGTAGACTACAAAGTTACGCCATCTACCTCATGAAGCAGCCGCCCTTGGGCTCCCCCTGATGCTCATGACGCATGCTCATGACGCATGCTCATGACTCTCTTGGGTGGGATTTTTGATGAAAATAGGCCAGACCAATAGTGTGTCAAAAGCTGGGTGCCGGCGATTGTCTTGTGTTTGACCCACAGGAGACATGTCTACCAAATTGCCAAGCACGCTTTAAGTCTCGACGAGACTGGGTCAGACACGTGCGAGGAGCACACCGGATTGAGCTGCAGATCGATCGAATGCGGTTTGATACGCATGAGGAGCTGAGAGACTTTATTGAGATGTACTGCAACTCCACGGCATGTCGCTTTGACCGTCGAGGCAACTACTATCACTGCTCGAGACACAGGCTTCCCCCACCCGAAAAACAGCAGCGTGGAGCGCAGAGTCAGGAGCAGGATGCGGGCAACAGCAGCCTGCATGCGAACTTGGACATTGATTCACGTCACGGGCAGCATGATTCGGCGATGAGGGAGCAAGCATGTGCTGACCACAAATGGCATGAGGACGAACCTGATTGCGTTTTGGAGCAAGAAGAATCACAGAAAGTGGTCTGCTATGCATACATGTGGCAGCAGGAGCTGGACGATGGCTCCTTTGAGGTTGGTCTCGGCTTGTCAACTTCAATCCTGCACACAGAAATCGCTCATACGCCGTTCTGACTTGGTGGCATAGCTGGAGATTTTTGATGAGCACACCCACAAGTCGTACATGCACAACATTTCCCTCAGCAATTGGGCGAAAACAGAGATTGCCCAATTGTCATCCATGGGTGTGCCAAGCATCTACATCAGGCGTATTATCAGGGCACAAGTCCCGGAGAATTCACGAGATTTTATTGTCTCTGCCAAGGAGGTCAACTATCACTCCTTGCGCAGGCGTCGTGCCACGCAAGATGACGTTGCTGTCCAACAACCAGGGATGGAGAGCCCATCAGGTCAGCCTGCGGCGTGTAGCATACAGGTCTGTGTCATGCGAAGGGAACACAATCAAGCCGCGTGGAAGTGGTTTTAACGTCTCCCGGCGCATGCTCACAGGAACCTGTCTTGAAAACTCCGCATTGCAGGATGCGCGGCGCGACCATGACTGCAAAAGCTTCAAAGATCTTAGGGAACAACGCACGCTTGCATCTGTGCCGGCCGCTGTGCGTATCGCCTTTTCAAGCACCCCGCACACACACACAAGAGTCACGCACAAGCTCTCGAGTTTGTCAAGCAGGTTTTGGTTGTCTTGCTTATCAAACATTTTTCTCGCATCTGTCCATTTACCCGTGCAGTTCAGGCACCGCGTCCTTCGGCGGTTGGAATGGCTTTCAAGGGTGGGTTTGTATAAAGGACAACATCATGCACATGGCTGGAACACGAAATAACACGGTACTCTCATGAATTGGTTCGTCATGTGGTCTCTCGCTCCGAGCTGTTCAATGCTTGGAATTAATCTTTTTCACCCGCACCTCATTTGCTCGAACTCGGTCTCGATTACAACAGGGGGAGCCCAAGACTGGACGGGACGTTGTCATTGATTGGTCAGGCCTTTCTTGATGGCGAATCGGCTTCAGCAAGTTGCATAATTTGTTCAGGTCTGGTGCTTCAGCCCTAAAGTGCCGGTGTCGGTCTTTGTGCTTATGGACACGAATAAGAAGCCAATCAAAGTGCAACGCTTTTTTTTTTTTCTTGTGCTCATGTGTACGCGTGGTCAAACGCATGGCATCGTTGAACCGGCAAACACACTACTTGGGAAACGAATGCGCCGAGTTGGCTCACTCACAAAGACTGCCTGTTGAAATCAGACAAAAGCTTGCCTCATCACGAGGCCGTCAGCCTCTAAAATTTCCCCATGACACGCACCCAGGCAAAGAACATAAAGACAGTGGCAGCCGCTACCTGTCTTTGATTTGGCTTTATACACCGTCCGTCCACGCACCGTGCCGTCTTTCACCAACCCCCCTAACGCGCACACACAGCACGATCCGGCCATGTGCCTCTTGCGGCCCTCCCCCTTCTTCTTCTTCTTCGTGAAACTAAAATGGTTTCTCTTGTTTGTCATTCATCTCTCTGTCTCTCTCTCTCTGTCTCTCTCTCTCTGTCTCTCTCTCTCTCTGTCTCTCTCTCTCTCTCTGTCTCTCTCTCTCTGTCTCTCTCTCTCTCTCTCTCTCTGTCTCTCTCTCTCTCTCTCTCTCTCTCTCTCTCTCTCTCTCTCTCTCTCTCTGTCTCTCTCTCTCTCTCTCTCTCTCTCTCTCTCTCTCTCTCTCTCTCTCTCTCTCTCTCTCTCTCTCTCTCTCTCTCTCTCTCTCTCTCTCTCTTTCTCTCTCTCTCTCTCTCTCT